CATTGACTGTGGATCCAAGTAAAATGAAATCCTTGACAACTGCAATAGTTTTTCGTTTACCATGATGTTGCTTATTGGTCCAGTTGTGAGGATTTTTGTTTTATGTTGAGGTGTAATCCATGTCGAAGGCTGTAGTCTGTGATTTTCATCAGTAAGTGCTTCAAGTCCTCTTTGCTTTCAACAAGCAAAGTTGTGTCATCTGTAAATCGTAGATTGTTAATGAGTCTTCCTCCAATCCTGATGCCCCGTTCTTCTTCATATAGTCCAGCTTCTCGGATTACTTGCTCAGCATAAAGATTGAATAAGTATGGTGAAAGAATAGAAGCCTGACCTTTCCTGATTTTAAACCACTCAGTATCCCCTTGTTCTGTTCAAATGACTGCCTCTTGATTGATGTACAGGTTCCTCATAAGCACAATTAAGTGTTCTGGAATTCTCATTCTTCTCAATGTTATCCATAATTTGTTATGATCCACACAGTCGAATGCTTTTGCATAGTCAAAAAACACAGGTAAACATCTTTCTGGTATTCTCTGCTTTCAGCCAAGACCCATCTGACATCAGCAATGATATCCCTCATTCCACGTTCTCATCTAAATCTGGCTTGGATTTCTGGCAGTTCCCTGTTGATGTTCTGCTGCAAATGGTTTTGAATTATGCTCAGCAAAATTTTACTTGCGTGTGATATTAATGATACTATTTGATAATTTATGCATTCTGTTGCATCACTTTTCTTTGGAATGGGCACAAATATGGATCTCTTCCAGTTGGTTAGCCAAGTAGCTGTCTTTCAAATATCTAGGCATAGACAAGTGAGCGCTTCCAGCGTTGCATCCCTTCGTTGAATCATCTCAATTAGAATTCCATCAATTCCTGGAGCCTTGTTTTTCGCAATGCCTTCAGTGCAGCTTTGACTTCTTCCTATAATACAATCGGTACTTGATTGATTATATGCTCCCTCTTCAAATGGCTGAACATTGACCAGTTCTTTTTGGCACAGTCTCTCTGTGTATTCTTTCCATCTTTTTTTGATGCTTCCTGCATCGTTCAGTATTTTGCCCACAGAATCCTTCAGTATTGCAACTCAAGGCTTGAATTTTTTCTTTAGTTCTTTCAGCTTGAGAAAGGCTGAGTGTATCTCTCCCTTTTGCTTTTCTAACTTTTTCTAACTAACAGGTCTTTGCACGTTTCATTATATCTTACTTTGTCTTCTTGAGCCATGCTTTGACATCTTCTGTTCAGCTTTTGTACTTCATCATTTCTTCCACTTGCTTTAGCTAGTCTATGTTCAACAGCAAGTTTCAGAGTCTCTTCTGACATCCATTTTGGTCTTTTCTTTCTTTCCTGTCTTTTTAACGACCTTTTGCTTTCTTCATGTATGATGTCCTTGATGTCATCCCACAACTCGCCTGGTCTTGGCTTATTAGTGTTTAACGTGTCAAATCTATTCTTGAGATGGTCTCTATGTTCAGGTGGGATATATTCAAGATTGTACTTTGGCTCTCATGGACTTGTGTTAATTTTCTTCAGCTTCAACTTGAACTTGCATGTGAGCAATTGATGGTTTGTTCCGCTGTCAGTCCCTCACCTTATTGTGACTGACGTATTGAGCTTCTCCATCATCTCTTTCCACAGATGTAGCTAATTTGATTCCTGTGTATTTCATCTGGCGAAGTCCATGTGTACAGTTGCTGTTTATGTTGTTGAAAAAGGTATTTCCAATGAATAGGTTACTCGTCTTGCAAAATTCTATTATGTGATCTCCAGCGTTGTTTCTATCTCTGCGGCCATATTTTCCAACTGCAGATACTTCTTTGTTTCCAACTTCCACATTCCAATCACCAGTTCAAGTTCCTTGTAATGAGTCAGTTGGTTTCCTAGGTAACTAGACTCAACTAGCAGGTGACTTTTCAGATGGAAAACTATATAACAAGCCAGAGAGACAGAAATCCAAAACTCCCCATTACATCATACCTAAAAGAGGAGATTTCTGTCTCCACCAAAATAATACTTGGACTTTTTGTGGGAACTTGCCTTTGTTACCAAATTTTCATGAAAATGGAACCTGGATAAGAACTAGGAAACAGTAGCGTATTATTTTGAGGCTGTCTCACTTACAGATCTTACAAGTAAGACACCCTACTTCTTTTGTTTTAGATCTATTGAATGATGTCAATACTATAGATTTCACTGTTGCTGCTAAATTATTTTTGATGAGTGGTACCAAAATATTATATCTGACTAACTCATAGGGGTGTTTTGGCTGTAAACAGATCATTGGGTGGTCCCCAATGACTGTTACTAGATTTATGGTAGAACAACCTGCTGGCTACTACCTGCAAACTGGATAAGAACTTGTTATCTTGGTAAACTGACGCCTGCTTTCAGGAGAGTCTCCAACATCATTCTATCCTCACTTTGCCCTTTTCCTCTCTGAGACACTGACTCTAAGACCAAGTCTTTGTCTAGGTAAAATTCTCCCTTACCATATTAAGACTAAACTCAGCTTTGTTATCAACAATTATTTTTGCGGAGCCATCACTGATCAAGATTTACCTCTTCTTTGGACAAATTTAGATAAGCTCTATTAATTGTAACTCTTGTCCTTTTCCTAGGATCCACTGATCTTCTGTTTTAACAGGTTTTAAAATATGTTGAAAAGTAAGTTGATTATAGCTTTCTTTATGTTGGCTACATTTTGGTAATGTTTTCCCTGAGGATAGCGAATTCAGTGAATACGTAAAGAATGATTAAAGTAGAAGAAACAGTAACGGTTCACAAGGATTTGTCACCTTAACTGGGTGAATCTCAGAGAACGCGTCACAGAGATCATACTTGAACTGAGTCTTGAAGGATAAGTAAAAGTCTTCCAGGAAAAGAAGGAAATGGATATTTTATGCAGGAGGGAAAAGGGCCAAAGGAATAGATGCAGTCACATAGCACTGAGGGAATGTAATGAATGGGGAACTGCCAAAAGATTCTATATGACTGCAGTACAGCAGTGCATGGCTAGCGCAGGGGGAGGGAGATATAAGTATTCTAAATAAGCAGTGAAATATTGGAGTTAAGATGTTCAGAGGTAGAACAGATTATGCTGATGAAAGTGTCCTGGCTGCGGCCATGCGCATGAGTATGAGTTAAATGTGCTGTTGAAAGGAAAAGACCATAAATTTATAGAAGTCACAGAACTATCAGGTTAGAAGCTTGGATGGGCTATCTAACCCATTAAAACCTGTTGTTGGCGAGTCGATTCTGACTCAAGAGAGATCTGATAGGACAGAGTAGAACTGCCCCATAGGGTTTCCAAGGCTGTAATGTTTACAGAAGCAGACTGCCATGTCATTTTCCCAGACAGTGGCTGGTAGGTTCAAACTGCCAACCTTTTGGTTAGCAGCCGAGTGAGCTTAACCACTGTGCCAACAGGGATCTTAGATGGATCTAAATGACTATATGGGCCACGTACATGATTATTTCATCATAACAAAACATGATCAGAAAAACCTGAACTATCATGGCCATTCAAAGAGATTAACAGCCAACAAGCCAGTAAGAGCATAACTGAAATGAGAGACAGTTTTTACAACACAAAGAACCATGGTAAATGTGAAAGAAGGCTCAAGGAATCTGTTCTTGACAACATACTATTTTTGTTCCTAATCATCATAATCATTATCAGTCACTTATCATTATCTCAGGATCAAAAATAAATGGAAATTAATTATACAGTAGCTATCATAAAATGCCATTGATTTTATTTATTTATTTATTTAAGTTCATTATCTCTTATTTTATTGTAGTGAACACTCAATCATCACTCCCCTGACCCTTAAGCTTCTCAACCTTAGGTTTTTTTTTTTTCTTTCTTCTTAATTTCAACCTTAGATCTTAGTGAGGGAGAATAAGACTTTACATCTCTTATTACTAAGGAGCCTCCTCAGATTCACATGTCTATCAAATGTTGGGTAAACTCATGAAAGTATATGAGTTAAACATGCCTGCTTATCCCTACTTTTAAATACTTCTAAGATAAAGGTGCTAGGCAAGCAACTGCCCATCCACTCAAGGGTTTCCCAATAAGGTAACAGATTCACAACATAGTAATGGAAAAAATTTCCATTAAAGAAATCAAAATAAAACATGAATTTTTATCTATCTGAAGTTCTCCAATTACTTTTTTGATTGCTAAATAACACAGATATTCTACTGGAAATATAAATTATCCAATTTACTAGAACTCCTAGCTGTGTGGTACCCAGTAGACCCATTTCAGTATGGTCTACCTACACATCTTCTTCTGATAATGATTAGGAAGGAGATGGGATGATGCTATTAAGCTAATAAGTGACAACAGAACAATGATAAAATAATTAGCATTTTTAGAGCATTTTTCTCTTAGGATTTTATAGGTCTTAAGGCATAAATTTCACTGTCACATCATTCAAGGATACAGGTGAGGAAAAGCTATTTATAGTTCTTTTATTTTTAAGACAGAAAGAGGAGTAATATGTAAAGTTAAATGACTTCCAAGTTAATGCTATTAGTGATCAAACCAAAAAATTAAGGATTCTTCATCCTTGGTTCAGGGCACTATATTCTAAAGCATGCTGCCTGTAAGGTAAGATCTTTTAGGAATTCATATTCAAAAGATGACTATGTACCCTCATAGGAGTCACATGTTCCTTTTTTTTAGTTAGACTCTTAATGAATTTATATTATCATTATTTTCAGTTAGTTTGTTTTCAAACAACCTTTTAGCAGTGGGGCAATTAAAGAGGAGTTCTTATCTTGGAGTCACAGAGGGGCTCATTAGTAGCCTACTAACAGTGCTGTCAAGGTTCTCCTTTCAACTGGCAAAATGACTGAAATAAGGGAAATATTCATTAATATATTGATACTAACCAATGTTTTTAGAAGGCGAACACCCTAATATTCATATTCTTGATATAAATTTTCCCTATTCCTCTTCTTCAGTAGCCCACCTGCAATGATGAAATACTTACTGGCTCTGAGAATGTTCTCCTTGCTGCTGCACCTGGACTGGACCTGCAGAGAGAGCATAAAGTCAGTAATTTAGGGCTTATAACATGGATAGTCAAATATGCAAATGTAACGGGCAAGCTCCTGAGGTCTAGAAGCAGAGGTTTTATACATTCCAGATATCAAAACTAGTTAGTCAAAATATTTTACATTTGTTCTATGCATTTTTTATTTATCCTTTTCTACTTTAAATAAACAGCTAACTGACTTCCAGAAAAAAAAATCTGGAGGACAATATGGCACAATGTTGTACACAGGTTAAACGAAAGGCAATTTTTTTGATGTGTATTTGAAATCAGCATCTGTAAAATATTTCAGTTTGCGACATATTTGTGAATACAGACCCTTAATCTTAAATCATTTAGCATCTCTTGATTCAACTAATAAAGTAAAGCAATTCAAGTAATAAAGTTGTAATCAAATATTCCATTGTAGTAATTTTCAGAAAATATATATCCAGAGGAAAAATAAAGAAATCTTTTTATATACAATTTTTACCTTTGATTTTAATAATCTTTGTTACGGATTATAATAATTAATTATAATATTAGTTATAAAAGATGTTCTTGTGGAAATCAATAAAATTGAACTTAATTCTTTACCTATTCTTGGGTGTGTATATAGTTTATCAATCAGGAAGCCTTAGCTTTGATTCAAATATTTAAGTCAAAGTGGAACATTCTTTTAAATGTTGCAAAATTGTCAAATTCAAGGGCCATGTTGGATGGCATTAACACTGCCGTTAATTTCAGAGGAAACTGTATTTAAGCTCTATACCTCTTCTTCCCACTCTGCAGCAGCTTGCCCCAAATGGATATATACAGAACAAATTAACTTCTACAACTTAACGCAATCTACTTATTGTAATGAAACAACTTATGAAAGGAATGTTGCAACTTAAGGTGGGTTATGGTTGTCCTTCCCTGAAAAAAACAATTGTTAATGTTTAAAGAAACAACAACAACAATAAAAAAAAAAATCACAAACATACACACAAGGGGGGAAAAAAAACTCACACACACACACAAAAAAAAAAGAAAAAAGAGGGAAAATAATTCCAAATATTTAAGATATTCTCCTTTGGCCCAGATTGTTTATTTTAAATACACTAGAATGGAGAAGCTACTGGAAGATAATATTCTTATATTCTTTTACTCAGAAGTCTTACTGAAGAACAATTCTGGACCAAATGTGAAATAAATCAATGATTGCTTAAAAGAAAATAATACAGGAAGGGAGACATGAGAGTGAGGAAAAGAAAAGGAAGAGAGAGAGGCTTGAGGGAGTGAATCTAGAAAAGAAAGTATAAGCCTATAGGGGGTGACAGTATGTAAATACAGAATGTTCTGCTATTTCTTATTGAAAATTCACACTAAGAGGGTAAGAATGACTAATGAACTTGCTGCAAAATAAACGAGCAAGTTGGCATACCATGGAATGAAAATGAGTGTAACTATAGCACTATGGTCTTAAAGGAGAAAAGAAACAAACACTAATTGACAGGCTTAATAAAGAGAAACTGCGTTTTAAGAAAGTGATTCAAGAACACAAGAGAAAGCTAAAAGAGTGAGAAAATCTGGGAGAGAGTAGGAGAAGAAAGGAGGAAATGTTCAAAGACAAAAACAAAGTTCAAAGAAGTCAAATGGACGTCAAGAAAGTCTTCAACAAGATGTAGAAACAGAAGGAGCCCAAACTCATAGCGCAAAGCAACGTTTGCAAATGGAAAGCAGCTCCTTTGATCAGTAATAGTTACTCTTAAGTCGTAGCCTCTATTCCTCCAGAGTTCATCTTTAAGCCCTTCCAATCTAGAGTGGAGCTAGTGTATGGATAGAAACAAGAGATTTATAATGAACAGAGCAGTTCAGATGAGTAGTTCAAATTGTCTCATAAAATGTTTCAACAGATTTAAATAACGTATGTCTAAGTGGAAATGGTGGTGAAGAACTAGCTGGCTTTACAAAAAAAAACAACAAACTAAACCAAACCAAAAGACAAAACACCCTCTCCTCTTCCTCATCTGGTTTAAAAAATTAACAAAAATATCATTCATAGCATGAATTTAATAAAGAAACTCAAGTGTTGCTTTGTGGCACTCCAGTTTAGAACTATACATGTCAAATAGTTTTGGAGGAGAAATCTGGATGATGAAAATAATTCAATTTCCTGAATCTGAGCATTTAACAAGGTTCACAGTATAACCTATGTTTTCCCATTTACTTTACATTGGCTATTTGAACCAGATTTGAGACGAATAAACTTTTAAAATCAATGACTATAAGAATTTATTTACTTTAGTGATCTCGAATATAAAAAAAGTCATTGCGGAAAATAATTTAAAAAACTCAACTCTGTTTAATATTTATACAGATAGCAAATGACCCTCTCTATTGTACCATGAAACCAGTCATCTTTTAAATATTTACTTAATTTTATAAAATCCCAATATGAAGATTTTTACCATACCCTCAGTCACAATGTAGTGGGATTTACTTGAAAGAATGAAGTTGAAAATAATTATTACTCTTGTTCTCAAACATATGAACTACAAAGAAGGTAACAGAGGTCTGTGTCTAGTTTTATTGTTTTTTCCTCTACATTACCCTGGCTATACTCAATGGAAAAACAGGCAAGCCTGAAAAACAAAATAAAACCAAGATTTTGACTTAATACCAAATTTGTCAGGGATTAATGAAAGGTATAGTGTCAGATTATCTACTTCTTTATTCTATTGGATCATACTATTTTACTGCAATTAACATCTGACTTTATGATGGTGACAAGTAATTACTCTTTCAACTCAAATCAAAACTAAAATAATGTGTAGAAATAGTATATTACAATTAATGGAGGAAATGAAAAACACATGAGACTTACTGAAAATTTAGAGATTCATTTACTTATCAAGACTGCTTTGACACATCAAATAATTCATTTCAACATATGTTTACATGAATGATATAATTTTTGCTGAAGATCATACTGTCCTTAAGAAATCTTAAGACATGAAACAGAAAATGAAAGGAGGGAGAGCACGTATTAAATGGTAAGGAAAAAAAGTGAAAATGCCTTATAAAAAGCTGAGAAAATTTTAACAAACAACCACAACCTTTAGATACAGTTAGAGAAGTGACTTACCTTACGCTTAGGTCATAACAAGAATAGCACAGTGTTTAAAGTCAGCTCTTCATTATGGGAGGTACAATCGAAAGCCATAGGTTATAGTAACATGAATTGCTACACAGAAATGAAGACTTTTTCAGCCCAACATGAAAAGCTAACTCTCATGGGAGAACATTTCAACTTATGTGTAATGCAACATGAACAACTGAGGGTGTAAACACCAAAACACACGAATCTCACACCAATAAGAACGAGAAGGCTCAATCTCTCAGGAACACAGAGGATTTAATCTGTGATCATAATTTGTGACACATAAGGGAAGGCACATCACTCTAACACTGAAAGATGCATGCATACGTATAACCATCCACTGATTCCCCCACACTTGGACACATGTAAGCCCACTAAGATACGGGGAAAGAATGTAGTGCCAAGCCGTAATGACGAAAGCAGGACACACAGAAGCGCAGCAGTGGTCATGTGATTTGAGAGGTGTTCTTCCCTTAAACCATCCCATCACCATGCTTATTTTAAAGAAGCCAGATAAAGACCCCCTTTCAATGCTGCAGTAGCTACGAGCCCCCAGCTTGAAGCTAGTGTGTGGAATTTTGATCACCGTTCCCTGCGATGTCAGGGGCTCTCTAGTGGAAGCCAGAAGCCAGATGCGTAACACCAGTTAGTAGGGTACAAATGTGCAAATAACAAACATCCTTTTCCTTCTGCGTTTCACAGAAGTGAGGGAGGAGAGAAACAAATAAAATAAAACCCATGTTAAGAATAGGTTCATAACAATATAAGAATGGATAAATATTAAAATAGTGATTACATTTGATTGCAGGTTAACACAAGTTTCATAAAAATTGCCTCTATTTTGCTGCTTATCAGGCTATTTTGTATTCTTTTTCCTTGTAAATGCATGTAATGAATCTATAAAATATATAGCTCATATTGAAAAATTCTGAGCAGTTTGTCAACTAGGGTTATAGTCAAGAACGAAAGAAATCATCTTCGACAGACATTAAGAAAGCCCTATCTTCCTACTTTTAGCATAATTTTGCTGGCTAGCAGTTATATTTTAAATAAGAAATTAAGCTTCTATATTATCTGCTTACTTATGTAACTGAGAAGTTCTATGGCAATGGTGTGGAAAGACCCAACTGAAATTTTAATCTTTTTACATTCTAAAAAATAAACAACAAAAAGGAATATCTATTTAGAAACTCTTTATAGGTTTTCTGTGTACCTTTGCATACAGGCAATCAAACTTATTTTAACATGGGCTGTTACTATTAAGAATAGGGTCCTATCAGCTCATTAAAAACATTTTCAACTTTGCTTTCCTATTACTGATGACAATAGTTACTTCATCTATTTTATTCTTTGTCTATAATATGAATTGTTTCATGTGTGACATTCCAATTTAGTTAGCAGATCTGTAATTGTTCTCTCCCTCATCTTCTTAGCGACCAGAATATCTTGACCTTTCCTTTCATGTGGTTTAAATATTTTACGCTCTGGGCCCTCCCATAATCTGTTTTCTCATTGAAAAAAATATTGTTGTGGGGCCTGGCTCAAAGGAGATAATGCATGTATCGGTAATTTTTTAAAAAAAATTTTGTATCAGTGATTTTTAAGCTACAAAGGTCAAAACAAATGTTAGAAGTTGTTATGATCAGTGGAGCCACGGACAGCTATGATGTAACTCTGTGATTAACATCCTCCTTATTATTATTTCCTCATTAGAGGAAACAAGGAAAGCTCTTGTTTTTGACCAAAGAGAGGGAAAAAAAATTCCATGTACAGTTACATGGTTTTCAATAGGTATTGACCAGAACTTTTTAGACATGTTATAGCCATATAGCCAGCCATATGTACCGATAGGCATG